CAGTTAAAAGGTTTTAACATTCAGCTAGGTTGTGTGTATTGGATGGTGTTACTTTACCTACAGCACTTCATACTCTTTTTATATTTTGTGTGTGAGTATGCGAAATATGTATTCTGCTTCAGTAAAAGCAAACCATTTAGAGGGCAAGGCAGACCTGTGAGGGGAGAGTGCATTAATCATCCCAGTTTCCTACTAAGATACCTGACACAGAACCTCCTAAAGATGAATTTGGATTCAGCCAAGAAAGTAATAGACATTTGAATTACTGTAGCAAAATGTTTTTTGTTCCTGCTGAGATCTGTTGAGTTCTTTAGTGTGCAAATAACCCATCCTTCATAGACCAACAGCCAGAGTAATCAGTTGTCATCATATATGTCATAGCTGCTTCTCGGGAGGTATGTGAACTCCATCATCTCTACAGTGGGCATAGTTTTCCTCGGACTGCTGCAGATCATATATTCTATGTGTACAGCACCATTCAGTAGTAAACAAAAGCAGGCAATATAAATTAGCCCTACAGGAAAGCCACAGTTTACGTACAGTTGTGTGACAAAGTGCACCCTCTGAATTTTATGGTTTTACGCATCAGGATATAATAAAAATCAGCTAGTCCTTAGCAGTTCTTAAAATTTGGTAAATACAACCTCAGATGAACTACAACGCATGACATATTACACTGTGTCATTATTTATTTTACAAACAAAGACAAAATTGAGAAGCCATGCATGTAAAACTAAGAACAGTACATCTTATGATTCAGTAGCTTGTAGAACTACCTTTAGCATCAATAACTTGAAGTCATCGTTTCTGTATGAGTATCAGTCTCTCACAGGAATTTTGGCCCAGTTTCATTGAGGTTTGTGGGCAATAAAGGCCATTTCCACCTTTTGTGGGGGCATTTAAAAAAAAACTTATGCCGGCAGATGCTGGATAAAAACACAAAAACTTACTTTTTTTGTAGTTGTCCTCTCAGGCACCGCATGTTTGTTTTAAATGGCTGCCAGACTGCTGTGTACAGTGGAAGCTACAGTGTAGGGAGTGGAACAACTCCTTTTCCCACAATGCTTTGCTTCTCTCGTGCACGTGCATTCATTAATATTCATAATGGTACCTTCCCCTGGGCAGTACAGTGACCGGGAGATTTATTTTTTTTCCCCTGTGACTACAATTGGAGGATTGTTGTTATTGCCAAAGAAATACGTTATATTTTGTCTCCAGTAACTGCTCAGAATAAAATATAACCAATTTCTTTATCAATCACAACAATCCTCCAACTGTAGTCACAGGTAAAATAAAAATCTCCTGGTCACTCTGCACTGTCCCCGGGACAATATGTATTTAATGTGATTTACACCACGCTCTGAAACTGATATACCCCCCGATGTTCAACTAAATCATTCCAAGTAATCCACAGTGTACTTATTAAACACACACAAATGTGCCCCAATAACAGGTAAATGTTAAATATACAAAAGTGATCCAAATATGAGATGGAAACTACAATCCGCATCAGTGCTACAGACAAAAATGTTCAATTAGGGTTGCACCAATACACTGCGCACAGCCTTGGTGACATGTCCCACCCATCCCCGGTTACCCTGCACAATGGGGGGATCTATCAAAACTAGAGCAGATTTGCACTGCAGCCAATCGGCATATCTCTCTCATTTTCAAATTTTACCTGAGTAAACTGAAGAGAGATGCTGATTGGTTGCCATGGGTAACTGCTTCAGATTCTGTTTACTCTAGTTTTGATAACATTTCTCCCAGTGTGTTTTTAATTTGTGTTCTAACAGTCATGACAATGACAAGAATGGTGGCGGAGGGAGGGGGGCACATTGAGGAACCTGCAGCAGAGAGAGTAAATCTGGCCCTGTAGAGGGAGAGATCTGAGAGAGACTCACAGAACACAGTGACAGAAAGTCTACAGACACAAGTGTGGGAGACACACAGAGCTATTAGGAGATGTGGTGATGACTCATAGGGAGGAGTTCTGCTCTCTGCTCTGTCATAGTCTCCTCAGAGCTTTGTGTGCTTGTTCATGAGGAGGGGGTAGGGGTCAACACACTGAGCTCAGCAGAGCACAGAGGAATCAGCTGATTGCAGTTTACAGGTAACAACCCGACCCTCAGTAGAGTCGGATTGAAGATCCTGTTGTGGGAATTTTGAATTTCTAGGACTCTGGCCTGTGAAATAGTCTATTAAATAAAGTAGGAAAAACAGCACCGTGACTCTTGACAATGCACACACACATATACATCACCCATGCACCTCCTACATTACCACAAAAAACACATCACTTGCAAAGGTGAAAATGTGCCACAGTATTTCAGTGGGTTGAGGTCTGGACTCTGGGCCATTGCAACACCTTGATCCTTCCCCCTTTTTTTTTTTTTAAGCAATTCTGTTGTAGATTTGCTGGTGTGCTTGGGATCATTTACCTGTTGCATGACCCAATTTCAGCCAAGCTTTAGCTGTTGGACAGATGGCTCACATTTGACTAGAACACTTTGGTATACAGAGGAGTTCATAGTCGACTCCATGACTGCAAGGTGCCCTGGTCATGTGGCTGCAAACCAAGCTCAAATCATCACCCCTCCACCACCATGCTTGACAATTGGCATGAGGTGTTTGTGCTTATATGCTGTGTTTTGTTTTTGCCAAATGTGGCCCTGTGCATTATGGCCAAACATCTCCACTTTGGTCTTGTCTGTCTGAAGGACATTGTTCCAGAGGTCTTGTGGTTTGTCGAGATGCAACTTTGAAAACCCTAAGGCATGCTGCCGTGTTCTTTTTGAAGAGAATAGGCTTTCTGAACTATTTCAAACAAGCCATAGTTGTTCAGTTTTTTTTTCTAATTGTACTGTCATGAATTTTAACATGCTAACTGAAGCATGTAGAGTCTGAGATGTAACACTTGGGTTTTTTGCAATTTCTTTGAGCATTGCACGATCTGACCTTGGGGTGAATTTGCTGGGAGGTCCACTCCTGTGAAGATTGGCAACTGTCCAATGTTTTGCACTTGAAAATAATCTTCGTCACTATAAAATGATGGACTTTAAATTGTTTGGAAAATGGCCTTATAACCTATCCCAAATTGATGGGCAGCGACAATTGCTTCTCTAAGTTTATTGCTGATGTCTTTCCTCCTTGGCATTGTGTTAACACACACCAGAATGCTCCAGACCAGCAAACTGCTAAAAGTTTGGCTTTTATAGAGGTGGTCACAGTGACAGTTCAGCTGCAGACTTGCAGCTGACCATCCAGTGTAGCAGGAGGGCCCACATTCCTAATTCCAGATCACCTCTGTGAGCCCCGTTCGTGATAGTCACACTTGCTGATGATCAATTAATCAAGTGCATTTGATTAGCAGCAGATGGCTGCTACTTACCCTCTTAAAGTGACATTAAACCCTCAGATTTTTTAACATAAAACAATACTGTAATGTGTGCCTTACTGTAATCCATGGTAGTTTCCCTTTTCTTTGCTGCTCTTCCTTTTAAATCCTTCTCTCTTCTCATGCTGGGCAGAACTTCTGTTTTGCAGCAGACTGCCTTGTCTCTGAAACGGATACATGGTGTCTGTGTGTAGGTTCACAACCTGAGCCAGCACTACAGGAAGAGGCACTCAGCTGCAAAGGGAAGTTCTCCCCAAGCATGAGAAGAGATAAGGATTTAACAAAAAAAAGAGCAGCAAAGAGAAGGGAAACAACCATGGATTACAGTAAGGCGCACATTACAGTAATGGTTTATGTTAAAAAATCTGAGGGTTTAATGTCACTTTGATTACTATGAAAGCAATAAGGGTGTACTAAGCTTTTCGCACATAACTTCTCCATTTTGGCTTTATGTTTGTAAAATAAATAATGACGCGGTGTAATATGTCTTGTGTTTGTAGTGACCTAATTTTAAGACCTGCTAAGGCCCTGATCATTTTATTTTGTTCTGATATGTGAAACCATAGAATTCAAATAGGGTGTACTTTTTCACATGACATTATAATCACATTGGTAAACCATTTAAAGGTTTAATAGCAGTGTGCCATGCATCACAGGGAAACGGGGATAATAATGGCATGCTAGATAAAATAATAATCAAAAGCATAATGGGGGCATGCCTAGTTTGCCATGGTGTAACATAGGGATATAAGCGAAATGCTTTTATATTGTTGGGGCATGGACTAAATTAGAGTGATACCCCATTGGTTCTCATCTTTAGTTGTGCTGCCTTGGGCATGTGTAGTGGTTAGCGTTTCTGCCTTGCAGCACTGGGGGTCCCTGGTTCGAATCCCGGCAGATCACTATCTGCAAGGAGTTTATATCTTCTCCTGGGTAATGCAGTTTCCTTCCACGCTGCAAAGACATGCTGGTAGGTTAATTGACTCCTGTCTAAATTGGCCCTTGTATGTGTGTGCAATAGGGACCTTAGCTTGTAAACTCCGTGAGGCAGGGACTGTTGTGACTTGTGCACTATATAAAGCACTGCTTAAATTGTGGCACTATATGAATATCTGTAGTAAATAAATCAATGATATAGTTAGACCAGGGCCCAATAAAGTCTTCCAAAACCTTCCATGCCCCAACAGTTTAAAAAATTATAAAAAGTAAGCAGTAAGGGTTTCAAACTTGCAACAACTTATAATGCTGCCATAGCTGTGTTAAATCAAGTCACACTCTCAAATTATACATACCTCTTAACTTTATATTTTAAGAAACACATGAGTGCAAAGATAAAACACACTGCTGCCAAAGCGGCCATGGGTTAAGTGCACTGAATATTGGACATGGATTAATGGTTAAAAAGCCTACTTACATTCTACATTGCACACATAAGCTACAGTCCTTGTACCCCCAAAATACTCCTAAATGACTGTGCCAGTGACAGTCTCGCACATGACAGTGGGCCGGTTCTAACCTTCTTAACTGAAATACCCTTTAATGCTTTTGGTGACAATGCATTTTTTTAAATCTTTTTTTTTTTTTGTTTTTTTTTCCCCAGAGAAATTATGTCATTACCATTTGGCATGGCTGTTATGAAATTAATTGACATTTCAACCCATACGTCTTTGATGAAATCTGCCTACAGATTTGCGGTAAACCATTACACAATTTTTAAGCATATGAGAAAAAAGAGTTCAACTCTGTACTACCTGAGACAGTATCCCTCCATTATCTTATGCCCAGCTCGCAGTACAACAGAGTGTGCTGTTTGCTTTCATGGAGAAAGGCCTTGTGCTTTTAGGCCAAACAACATGCAAGTGGATGAAAAATACTTTTTAGAACAGCTTTGTGGCCTCAGCTCAACCAAGCAAGTTCTTAAACTGCTGGAAGCCACTAGCCATAAAACGGACACCATCGTTGCTGCAGCATTTCTTAAAATAGCTGAAAATGAATCCAAAAGTGGACTAACGCGAAACTCAAATGAGGTGTTTGAAAACAAGGTTTTTAAAACTATATTGTGTCACTTTGAAAAAGGGTGTCAAACGGTTTCTACATATAGCCTAGTAAACACCATTAAAGCGCTTGTTCAGCTTGGAATAAACAGTCATAGTACCATAATGGAAAGTTTATTGCCTGAATGTCAAGAGCGAATTAACAGAAGACAGATGACAGTTGAAAGCCTTTGCATTTTAGGAGAAAGTCTGTTAGCAACTGAAGGACCAAACTTTTCTATGTTACAGTCTATTATGGATACCGTGCAAGATATGCAAGTTGACACCTGGACACCAGAAGAAATAACAGTGGTTTATAGCTTGTTACAAGCTGGACTATTTGATGGAAGTAAATACCAAAATTTATTAAACCGAATGCATAGAGCTATATTTTTAGCATCAAAACAATTAAATCCCAAAGTAACCTCTTCTGTGCTTTATTCTTTAGTGGCGCTTAAACAGACAAATGCAATGCGACTTTTTATAAGACTATGTGAGTTATCTTTGAATTATGTACCTAAATTTACAGATGAAGAACTTGTTAAAGTGTTGGTGGCCTTGACAGAGTATAATTACAATGATCCTTTGTTTACTAAAGCTTTGGAGATTTACGTATCTGAAAAGGTCTTCAAAATGTCACCAGAAGCTGTTAGCCAAGTCATGCAATATTGCAGCCAGAAGGAAATTCTATCTAAGCCAATTTTTAATGCTGTTGCTGAATATTTTGTGTACAATTCAGAACATTTTACCACTCACCAGATTGCACAGCAGATTATACCATTTGGAAAGCTGAACTACCTCCCTCCTGACACATCAGTCTTTTTCAGACAGCTTGAAAAACTGCTAGTCAGTCGTTTTTCTCAATTTCATCCCCAGACCTTACTTAATATACTACATTCATGCACTCTTCTGCAGCGATTTCCAGTGAATTTTTTTGCAAAAATCTTCAGTCCTCATTTTATTCAACAGTTGCAAGGTAAATACATGTGCCTACATTGAAAGGGTTATTTGGTATGTTTGTAAATTGTATATTGTTTATATATAATGTAAGTAATGCAGTTTATTTATTTTCAAACAAGTCCAAAGAACTCCACTTTCATCTTTACCCGCTGGTTTCCATATTCCACAACCGTACATTTTTTTAAAATGAGAATTCTTATGGGAAAAAGTCAACTGGATGAAATGGAAAGTACCTTTTAAACTTTTCATATCAATACTTTTGATTCAGTTCTTTAAGTTTGAATGACAGAATAATAGGAGCCTCTTGATGTGAGTGTGCCTCCTCTTTTTTTTGTTCTTAATTTTTTAATTGAGGTTAACCTATGGTTTGGATTAGGACAATGGTCATACATTTGGGGGTGTGGAATCTGAGAGTTGGCATAAGTGGGATTTGGGGGGAAGAGGGGAAACGAGAACTGGAGAGATAGGTAGGTAAGATGAGAGATGACCCACCTGACAGCTTCAAGATGTAAATGCTGCCTGGAGTGACATATTACACAAGCTCCTAGCAGTATTTTTGAAATGTATCAATAGGGAGTTCTTATCATTTTTTAAAATTATCTTTTGTTAGGTTATTGAGGCGGTCAACATCTGGTTGGATATGTAATTGGACATTCTTTACTTTGTGGGTCAGTTCCATAACATTTAGCCAACAAAAAGGTTTCAATATAGCACATTCCCATAATAGGTCTAAAAGGTTTCCTGGGCTTTCATTATACCACCAGAATGTACTTGGACCTGTGGGAAACATTTTATGTAGTATCGAAGGCCCTCTTTACTGTCTAGTTAAGATCTGGTAACCTGTCTCCTGTATCTTCTTGCAGATGGAGGACTTGGGGGCAAAATACATTGTGTTTTGTTTGTTGTGGGGTGAGGGTAAGCCTAAGATCTTATTTCCTATTGCTGTAAGAGAAGGGGTGAGGTTGGAACATGGGATTGCCGTGGTATCTGACTAGAACGAAGAGCACATCTTACTGGAGTTGCTTCCAGACATAGATTCTTAAATTGTGTCAAAAGTCTTAGGGGTTTGGGTGTATCTCTTAGGGAACTAACATAATGATGGACTTGCATGGCTCCCCAGTGGTCTATAACCATTGGTGGTCCTTAATAAAATGATATAGTCCTGCTTTTTCTTTCTCGATTTTCTAAATCTGGTGCCACTAAGATCAGTGAGGTTTTCCAACCATAGGTGTTAAAGTGTATCTAACCCCAAAAAGCAAAAATGTTATATTGCAGCTTATCAATCATTAGATGTGGTGGCTGCATCCAACAAACATGACAGTTAGAGGATTGAGCAAACCATTTACCACTGACAGGGGTTCTTACAATGGTCAGCTTTTTTTCAGTTATGCAAAACCTTTGTTCTGAAAGGAAAAAAAAATCTGTTGCTGCAACTGCTTAAAGAAGAACTCCAGGAAAATCAAAAACGTACTCTTGCAGTGGGGTTACACACACACTGCAAGGGTTAATAGCTTGTTTTGTCTCGGGGGCTCAAAGCAGATTTACTTAATCCTCGGTCCTGGCGACTCTCTCTGGGCATTCTTATAGCTTCGAAACCAAGACCCCACAGATGTAGCCACCCACTACCTCCTTCTTTCTCTGAGAATTAGAAGAAGGCATGATCCCCCTTGGAGACTTCATTCTCCCCCTTCACCCTAGGAATGATACATCTTCAGGGGATTCCCCAGTATGCTACAATAACCTGAACTTTATATAAAAAAGTCTCCTCCATGACCTACAACTAATTGACACACGGAAGACTCTTCATCCCATCCCACTGGTAAAAATTACATCACCTTCTCTGGTGTGCAAACTGTGCATCATTCTTATTTCCACATTGACTATATTCTGGTGAGCCACCATGCCCTGGTCTGGAACCTGTCCTTAGACATCAACACATCAGTCTGGTCTGACCATTTCTGTCACCTTCTTTTTTTGATCTCCCACATTCTCACTCTAGGGAATGGTGCTTCAACTCCTTTTTGAAAGGTGACTTTTGTGCTCAAATAATCTCATATTTGATCTGCAATTTTTTATCGGACCGCACTAACTACAATACTGCCACTTCAATAGTAGGCTTTAAAAGCCATCCTCAGATGGTTACTGGTACAGCAAGGGGCAAGCTTTTAAAAAGATAAAGCCCTCGTAATTGCCAGTACTTCAGACAAATTTTATAACGACACCATTTTCACCATAAAACAAAGTTATCCCTGAGAACTGTGGTGTAACTCTCCATTGGGAGAAATCGCCTAATCTCTCCCTACGACCAATCCCACCAACGTTTCTGTGACCAGACACGAGCATTGGTGCATGTTTGGAGACAAGTGTGGCAGACATCTAGCCAGAGGTCTACAAGCAAGAACTGCTTCAACTTGTATACCATCCATTAGATAAACAAATATGTCTACCTTATCCCTACCTTCTGACATCACAAACGTCTTTAAAGAATATTATACTTCTGTCTACAACCTTTAAACACACAATCCATCCCCCTTCACACTCTTAGATTATATTTATAATATGGCACTTCCTACTCTTAAACCTGAAGCCAACTTCTAGAATCCCTCGTCTCTGAGCTTGAGCTGACACTGCGGCCTGACACTTACCGTGTTCCTAACCAAGGTCTTTAACTCGGTCTCCCCTTCTTCCTCTTTCCCAGAATAATTCCTAGAAGCCAACATATTCCTAATCCCCAACCCCGACAAAGATCATTCCCTGTGCTCCAGCTATTGTCCCATCTCGCTCACCAATGTTGACAAACTCGATGCCAAACTTAAAATGACATTAAACCCTCAGATTTTTTAACATAAAACAATACTGTAATGTGTGCCTTACTGTAATCCATGGTTGTTTTCCTTCTCTATACTGCTCCTCCTTTTAAATCTGTATCTGTTCTCATGCTGGGCAGAACTTCTGTTTTGCAGCAGACTGCCTTGTCTCAGGAATGGATACATGGTGTCTGTGTATCCATTTGTATGGGTTTGTAATCTGAGCCAGCACTACAGGAAGAGGCCCTGAGCTGAAAAGGGAAGTTCTGCAGAGCATGAGAAGACATGAGTATTTAAAAGGAAGAGCAGCAAAGAGAAGGGAAACAACCATGGATTACAGTAAGGCACACATTACAGTATTGTTTTATGTTAAAAAATCTGAGGGTTTAATGTCACTTTAAAGCTAATAGATTACAGACATACCTGCCTTGTCTTGTCAACCTAGATCATGTGGGCTTCATCCCAGGGTGGGCACAAAGCAATAATACCATGAAGGCTATTCTTCTCTCCCAACAGGCCTGAAAATCGGGAACACCAAAGGACCTTTTTATCAGTCGACATAAAAAAAGCATTTGACCAGGTCAACTGGTCCTTCTTAAAATAGCCCTCCAAAAAATTGATTTTGGTCCCATGCTACTCCATAAACGAGGTAAGTAAGAAGACGCGCTGGCGCTGACTCGAGTATAAGCCGAGGGGGGCACTTTTCACCCAAAAAAATGGGCTGAAAATCTCGGCTTATACTCGAGTATATACGGTACTGTCTCTATTCTATCCCAGCTGCACATGTATGGGTAAACAAGAGTATTGTCTGACAAATTCCTGATACATCATTGACATGGGACACCAAGCCAATGCCATCTGTAATCACCCCAACATACAAGGCATCTATCTGGGTGATCAACACTACAAATTGTCCCTATTCCCAGGTGATTTACTACTCTACATAACTATCTACACATCTATCCTGTCTGTAATCCATGAATTTGAGTTATTTGGTGCCCTAAGCATCTTCAAAGTGGATATCTCCAAGTCTGAAATGAAAAGTATCTTGCAAACTTTTGCAAGTATATTCTGAAGGGCAGGTTTGAATGTAGGCAAGACTCCTCCTCTTCCCTTACGTTAGGGGGTTTATAGCACACCCACAATAAGTTTAGCACTACATTCAGTCTTCTAGTTTTAGCCACAAAGACTCAACACCATCGTCAATCTCTGTTGTGATGTCATCTCGTATGTGTACAGTTAGATTCTTTTTCACATATATGCATGCCCCTCCCCCCTTCTACCAACCCTCTCCCTCCAGAACAGGTTGAACCCTTGTACATTTGTTGCCCAGTCATGTGAGCTGTCTAGCTAAGTTTCTGCTATTCCCACTATATCGAAGTCCTCTTTAAGTAACATCAATTCAAGCTCCTCTAAGTTGTTTGCTAGACTTCTAGCATTCATGTACATACATTTTAGTTTGGTGCTAGTGATTTGAGAGTTATTATTACTCATTACTGATTTGCAATCAATTACTTTATTTGACCTTGGTATGGTTGAAACAATAATAGTTTGTACGTTACTACTTATTTTGGCTGGAGTGAGGCTGCAATCCTCCCTTTTATTAAAGAAAGAAAAAGGTGAGCCAGCAACCGGGTCATGGATGGCCAGGGCTCTTTGATGTACATAGTGGGGAGTGAAGGCTCGCCCATGTAGTCTGATGCAATAAAAGAGCTACTGTAGCTCAAATTGCTGCAGAAATGAACGCAGGTTGTAGGTAGAAAGGTGTCTGAACAAACAGTGCATCACAGTTTGTTGTGTATGGGCTGGACAGCCGTAGACTGGGCAGGGTGCCCATGCTCACCCCTGTCCCCCACCAAAAACACTGCTGTATTGCTCACCCCTGTGTTTGACTGTCTCAGTGGTATAGGGATTAACATCCTGTGATGCACGATCAATAAAAAAGGATTTTTGTAAATTCAGTTTCTTGGAGTACATTTAAGGACATTGGACCCTCCCTTATTCCTGTCTTATGTGATCCACTTATGTGCTGCTGGCTACAAAACTAAGGCAGGCTATGAGTAGGAGGGAATATGCAGGGTTGCTCCTGTAGCGTTGATTGATTTGCCCAATTGTGATTGATTTGCCCTATTGTGTCCTATCATCTGGAAGTAGCTGCATAACCCAGCGGTATAAGGATTAACTCCCTCTGTCCTGTGATGTACTCCAAGAAAGAAGATTTTACAGGTAAGATGAAAATCCTGTTCTTTCCCATAGTATTGACACTAATATGATTGTTCAGAATTAACAAATGAAGCAGTTTGGGATCCATGATATGCCTGTCAAATTGAAAAGCCTCAGTCACTTTAATATCCGAAAGATGTTTAATTGCTAAAGCAAAACTGAATCTTGAACTTGTTTGAATATGTTCCCAACAAAAAGGTACTTTAGACACTTTAGTTTTATACACAAAAGCGTACTTTGAAAACTTGTTTGCTGCAAAATATTTTATCGATTTAAAACAAAGTTAAACAAATATTCTTAGCAATCATTCTCCAAATTGTCTACTACAAGGTATGAATCTTGCACATTATATTAAACATTTATTATTATGTACTGACATTTTGCCTTGATAATTGTATTCTAGATCAGTCTGGGTCCATTGATCCCCTTGTGCTTGGTCAGCTCACCCAGCTCTACCTTACAGTCATCTTAGAATGCCCTTTCTATAAGGTATGGTATCCTCCTATAGATATTTGATCTAAATACTGTACAATGCAAGGTATTTTATGGTTTTGAACAACAAAACATTATTTTAATATGATAAAATATTCAAAGGTTAACTATGGGGTTAAGGCTTTTCCCCATAGTTCTCCTTAGGGTAAAGGGAGGACACAAACTAGCGTCCTCCCGGCACCCTAGGCTCAGTATTCCGCGAGCTGTAGCTCGCGGTATGCTGAGACGCCGCAGTATACCGAGACACTATACTGAGACACTGAAGCGGATCCCGACAATTGTGCCGGGATCCGCCCAGCTGCATGACTGACAGCTGGCTCTAGAGGCAAAGCCAGCTGTACCCGCCCCCTCCCCCGTCCGTTCCGCCAGTCAGCGCTGGCAGATCGGAGGGGGAAATCCAGCCCCTCCCCTGTCACGGCAGAGAGCCGTGGACAAGATCGAGAGGTGAGCGAACGCCGGTATGTGTTCGATCACCTCCCGATCTACTGAGCCGATCTGTGACAGTCTTATTGTCACAGGTCGGCTAGAACTATGAGGTGAGTGAAAAGCACCTTTTAATAACTTACACTATTCACTATATAGAGAACAAATCCATACTTTTTCAAAGTGTGGTTATAAACTGACCAGTTTGCTCTTTTCAGACGCAAATCACTGTGAATATATACAAAACCAATTACAGGTAAGTACATTATTAATCATCCCTTTCCATCCTGGCACATTATATACGTAGATGGTAAATGAGGCATTTTCCTGTCCATGAAGAATCTAGTGCTCATTTCTCTTATATTGGTGATAAAATGCTGGGATTGGTTCACGTCAAGTAATTTTAAACAAAGAGTTCATACACTGACAGCAGAGGCGGCTCTAGACTTTGAGGCCTTGGGCGAAACTCAAACGTGAGGCCCCCACTTACACCCATAATTAAAAAATTGCCAACGATAATACAAAAATTAACTGTATCAATTGAATATTTTAATACTAGCCTTGAATCCCAACAGCCAGGAATTCACAGCTCCTAGAGCTAGAATTCTATTTCTGTCTCATATCTAATTCTACAAATAACTATTCACAAAACCCTAACGCTAAGGAAGTAACGCGCAGAGTGCAGAGGCCAGTGGTAGGTAACCGTGCAGAGTGCAGAGGCCAGTGGTAGGTAACCGTGCAGAGGCCAGTGGTAGGTAACCGTGCAGAGTGCAGAGGCCAGTGGTAGGTGATCGCGCGGAGGCCAGTGGTAGGTGATCGCGCGGAGGCCAGTGGTAGGTGATCGCGCGGAGGCCAGTGGTAGGTAGTAACGCTGATCTGTTACCTGGGATTTCACAGGCTTGTGGATTATTCTTACCTCTTTGCTGCTCTGGTTCTGCTGGTACGTGTGGTCCTACAATCATGTGCTCTGCTCTTTGCTGCACAGAGATACCAGCTATGGGTGTCACCTGCCTCACCTGATGGTTAATATACCTTGCTGCTTGGCTACTTCCTGCCCTGCCCCCTATCTCTCGCCTTATTAGAGCCCTGCTCTTACCATCTAATTTTGCCTGAGCAACATTCCTGTTGCCTCCGAGCTCCTGTCTGTGCCTTTGCTCCTGACCTGCTTTATCTTTGGACTGACCTTTCATCCACTAACTCAGCTTTTTCCTCCTAGTTTTGTTTGTCTGCCCCCAGCCCTGTCCTCTGGCCTGTCTACCATATCTCTACTTCATTGCCATCTTGTTTTTGCCAGCCCTTCCTGGAATGCTGCCACATTCTCCTCCTGTGTATATGGGTACTCTTCGCAAATTGAGCAGGGTGAACCTGGAGGTCGTGACCTAGGTTAGCACACAACTAAGTCCAAACTTCCATGAGGGGTCCCTGGCAGAATACCGACTGGCCCTCATCCCCCACCTTTCCTGGGTATCCCACACCACCTGGTCGCCTATGGGTTCACATCTGTGGATCGTGACACTGCCATAGTAGCTGTGTAGGTTCTTTAATACCAGGAAGGTTACATCACCAGTGCTTTGCTGGGAAATCTCAGGGAAAGGCATTTTTCCCCTGAGATGATGTGCACTTTCCAGAACTCAAGGAAGTAAAGGGAGATGGATTCATCTGCCCTTAGTGAAAATGGGCCCCGTGAGAAGAATGGGGAAGAAAAGAAAAATGAGGTATGCAAAGAATAAAAAGCTTGCAATTTTCTATAAGTATCTGTTTGCAGATTGTCATTACTAAACATTTCTAAAAGGGCTTTTGTTGTCATTTTAAAGATAAGGATGAAATTCCTCTTTAAGCTGAAAGTTTCACCCTTATTTAATCAGACCAGAGTTCAGTTTTAAATGTTATCTGTAAAACAGATTGTTTGTTTTTATATATTGATATAACCGATATCATACAAAAAGTTTCTAGCACCCATAACTGTTTGCAAACAAAAACAAGCTCTCCACTGTTTCAACAAGTTACGTTAAAAACAGAGGTTTTTTTGTCACATAATTTACATTTTTATATATATATGGAACTACACTGTCTCGTCAAGGCCCCTTTGTGAAGGGTAAAAGCGAGGTCCTTTTGTGAAAGTAAAAAAGCTAAATGTAAGCAGCATGTTTTATTTTTATTTTTTTTAATTCATGCTGTGTGAATGAGAACATATTACAAATACACCGCCTAGCCCAAAATAAAACTCACATTAATATTTTGTTGGACTGCCTTTACCTTTTTATTACGGCAAGCATTCGCCGTGGCATCATTTTGATAAGCTTGTGCAATGTCACAGCCTTTATTTTCATCCAGAGTTGCATTCATTTTTCATCAAGATCTTGTAGTATTGATGGGAGAGAGAGACCACTTTGTAAAGTCTTCTCCAGCACATCCCAAAGATTGTCAATGGCGTTGAGGTCTCTGTGGTGGTCAATCCATGTGTGGAAATTATGTCTCTTGCTCCTTGCATTATGTTGGAATTTGGCTGTGCCGTCAGGGAAGAAAAAATCAATTGATGGGAAAAACCTGGTCATTTAGTATATTCAGGTAGGCAACTGACCTCTTTTTTTGGGGACATAACGTTGCTGAACCTAGACCTGACCAACTGAAGCAACCCCAGTTGATAACACTGCCCAAAATCCAGGTGGCTTTTTTTTTTTGGACAGGCAGTGTGTAAAGTAGGTGTTATCCCAGTTTGGCTGCAAAAGTGGAAATACACTGTAAAGGTGCAGTAAAACATCAGAAGTCCAGCACAGCACAATGATAGCTGAATGCCTCCAGTGTGTCTCTGCACCTAATTCAGCAAGCAACACAACATTATAGCCAGTATAGTACATTAGACTAAAACTTATAAATGCTTACAATTAAAATAAAGTTGACCTAAACCATTCTAATGTCCTTTTAAAGTAAAAGTAACCGGGGGCGTGGCCAAGCAATGGAGCTGTAGAGACGTGCGAGTGCTGAGCTCTGCTCCCTAACGTACCCGTTACCGCTCACTGACTGCAGATAACTCTCTGTAATCTACATGTTCGGCACTCGGAAGTCCCCCCAATCAACCAAAAAGAACACCCGGCAGACTATACCTGGCTACTTCTCCCCAGCGGCCACGAGATCCCAGGCGGCCTCTCCCGCACACATGGAGTTGGTCGGCCATCTTGCCTCCCACGGGACGCGTCTATCCCGGCAAGGCCTATACGATCGCAGAGACTACCTGGCATAGCCTCGCAGCCTGTTAAAACCACCGCGCAGATGTCGCCGGCTCTGACCGCCATGCTAGGTAACGACATCAGAGTGTTCCTGCAGTCGCTGGCTACGAAGGAGGATGCGAACTGACTCGCTCAGCAGGTAGAGGGGACATTGCGCAGGGAGATAGGGGGGGTGGCCCAGGCAGTCACTGGCCTAGAAACTAGGGTGACTGAGGCCGAAACATCACATGGCGACCTAGTGGCCCGTGTCACTGCCCTAGAATCGGCCTCCGTGGCCCATAACAGGGCGTATGCACTGCTATATTTGAAAATGGACGATGGCAAGAACCAAAATTGTCGGAATAATGTCCGCCTAAGGGGGATCCCGGAATCTACTGTCGGGGGCGACCTGAGGTCCTCAGTCCAAGCCATCCTGAACCAATTGCTGGATCGCGACCCCTTGACACTCATGGCGCCTGATACGCCCGCTGCTCACACATGTCGCCTCAAACGGGCGACTTATAAATGGGACCACCCTTAAATGGGACCCCGGATCGTCTAACGGCCCCTAAACCCCAGGGTTGAATTTAGGCTGATGGTCTTCACTTTATTCCTCCGCTTCTCTCCGAGAACTTTCGGAACCACCGGATCGCCTTCCCTGGCCAACTCCTGCCACCTGTGAACACATCTGTCCCCACTCCCGTGTGATTACCTCACCCCCCACCAGCCGCGCGGATCAAGACGTATCCTCACAGACTATACTGCTTCCAGGGTCCCTTCCCGGACGCTTACGTTCCACTAGTACACATGTTTGAACTTCTGTTGCATGTGCTATAACCTTTTATCATTTCAGGTTCCCTCGGATCGACTCGGCACCTCCATGTAATGCATTTTGTATAACTAACATGTGTACGGCTGAATTTTTATGCCGAGTCTGTTTAGTGAGGCCCTCTCAGGCCAGGCTACCCCTGTTCATTTCCCGCACCCTGTACTGGAGCATGTGCAGGCTGCCGTGTATGTCACTATAGCACTATGAGAGAAGTCTAGTACAATAACTGCTATACGATGCCCAGTTCCAGGCTCCTGCAGCTGCGCAGCCAGTCCATTGTCAAAGTCGGATGACATCTGCCACATGGCTCGACCCCCAGGAGGTACACCCCAACACCTGGGCCTCGAGCCATTGCAATGGTCAGTCTGCCATCTTGGGGGTTAGTACTTGCGGGATGCTTACCAACACTAGAGGGGCACTGTTTGTGATGGTTCCGTTGATTTGTTTTATCATTGGTTGAAATTTTTAAGATATTGTTGACTTGGCCTAGGGGGATTGGCGGCCATAGTCCGCTCGCCACGGATAGTTGTCGCGGGGTTACCTCCCTGATATGGGTATCACGGGAGCACCTCGATACGCTTCCTTGCTTTACATTCCCCCACCTAGGTCTCCTCCTCGCCCAGAGCGTTGAGGACTGTTTTAGCACTAAATACTTGTTTTCTGTATTGTTTTTGTCTTTGCCTTGTTTAGTCCGTTTACCAACCTAGTGTGGGCAATTGTCTTTCCCCTCCTCCTGTCCACTACCGAGCCACCTACTTTCTGACCTAACTTCTCTACCGTTTGCTTCCCTTAACCCTTCTCCTTCCTCCCTGTACACGCTCCCTTAAACCTCTGCCATTTTTCCTTTCAGACAGCAGACATGGCCCGTCAGATAGACAGAGCGGCGGCAGCATTACCCACAAAATTCCTATCCTGGAACGTAAAGAGTCTCAATGTTCCAGAAAAGCGGTCAAGGGTCAGGGGGGACTTGTGGAGACACAGGGTGCAGGTAGCTTACCTCCAGGAGACTAATTTTCAGTCGGGCTGCATCCCAGGACTCTCCGATCAGTGCTTCCCGTTCGTGTACCATAGCACTTCCCCAGCTGCGAAAACCGGGGGATGATGAGGGCAGGTACCTGTTTGTTAAGGGTCACTTCTATGGCTCGCTAGTGACATTGGTCAACATTTATGCCCCTAATTCTGATCAGATCTCCTTTATGGAAGAATGCCTCCTGGCTCTATCAGATTTCGCAGAGGGGATTCTTATTATGGGCGGTGAATTTAATGTTGCCCTTGACCCTCTACTAGATGTCTCCCGAAATGCCTCCCATCGCTCTTACACCTTTCTTAGAAAACTGCGGAAGACTCTGCACGCAGAACAACTGGTAGATGTGTGGCGTCTTATGCACGCTCGAGGGCGGGACTATTCATTCTACTCCACCGCACACAGAGTTTACTCGCGGATAGACTACTTCCTGGTCAGACAGCGAGACCTACACAGAGTATGCCACTCCTCCATAGACGTCATCACGATCTCGGACCATGCCCCGATCCTGATAGATGTGCTGCTCCACTCAGACGGGCCCAGACCATGGCACTGGCAGCTTAATTACCTCCTTCTTGATGACACCCTACTGACAGACCGCATTAAGCAGGATCTCACTCAATTTTTCCGACACAACCAGACCCCGGAGTCATCCCACCTCTCTATTTGGGAAGCCCACAAGTGCTGCGTGCGGGGCACCCTCATAGCACATGCCTCCCAAGCAAAGCGGAAACTCACTGAAACGATCTCTTCTCTACTAGCTCAAATTAGCAGCCTAGAGTCCCGCCACAAACAAATCTCGCAACCCCTCGCAAGGGCGGTGGAGGCCGAGCTATGGACCTTACGTCAGCGTACGATCGTACTTTGAATACGGCAACAAGCCTAGCGGGTCCCTGGCCTTAGCACTCAGGGATGCCCGAGCCCAAACATTTGTTCCCGCTATCACAGGGAGAGACAGCACCATAGCTGAGCGATTCAGGGACTTCTTCACTGAACTCTATAATTTAGAGAGCCCTAGGTCCCCTGAATCCGTCTCTAGACGCATCGCTAGAACCCAAGATATCTTGAACAGACTAATTTGCCCCGCATACCCCAGGAGGAAGCGGAGGAACTAGAGTCCCCCATCACCGCAGTAGAATGGTCGCAGGCCCTGAAACAGATGAAGCCACGTAAGGCCCTGGGACCTGATGGCTTCTCCCTACACTATTACAAGACCTTTAGCGGCCAGCTGACTTACCCTTTTCTCCAGGCGTACAACTCCCTCCTCACCGATTCCACCTTCCCGGCCGACTCCCTCCGAGCCACAATCACGGTCATCCCTAAGGAGGGGAAGGACATTTCCCTCTGCTCTAACTTCCACCCGATATCCCTGTTAAATATAGACCTGAAACTGTTCTCAAAAATTTTGGCCAACCGCTTATTGCGCAGTGTAGGTAAAATCATCCATACTGACCAGGTAGGTTTTCTGCCGCATAGAGACGCTAAGGACAATACTGTCAGGGTACTGAATGCGATTCATTTAGCCACCTCGAAGCGAATCCCCACCATCCTATCAACCAACGCGGAAAAGGCGTTCGACCGGGTGGATTGGTCTTTCCTCCACTCGACGCTCAGGGCGGTGGGGTTTAGGAACAATATATGCAGGTGGATATCGGCGATATATTCTACCCCCACAGCCCGGGTACGGGTAAATGGCGCGTGCTCTGCCCATTTTCCCCTAACCAACGGTGCCAGACAGGGTTGCCCGCTCTCCCCTTTACTTTTTATCCTAACGCTGGAACCCTTACTTTGCAGAATCAGAGATAACCCTGATATCTCGTGACTGCTCCCTGGCCCAAGGATGCACAAAATAGCAGGCTACGCTGATGGCCTCCTGTTCATGCTGACCAAACCTACACTCTCCCTTCCGAATCTGATGGCCGAGTTGGAGACCTATGGAGAGTCTTCAAACTTCAAAATAAACTTCCAGAAATCCGAGGCACTCAACCTCACGATGACCCCCTCCACTCTCCTGGGTCTCCAAGCAGCCTTTCCCTTCCGTTGGTCCACTTCACACATCACTTACCTAGGGACGAAACTGCCCTCATCAGTCGCCAAAGTTTTTGAAATTAATTTTCCACCTCTGCTCTCCGAACTTAGACGCGATCTCTCCAAGTGGTCGAATGGTGTAACGTGTCTTCCGACAAACGCTGGTTGCAACTTGAACAAGCAGTCTCCCCCTTACCACTGACAGGACTGCTATGGACCACATCACCCCTACCTAGGGACATACTAAAACACTCGCTTACAGGTGTCGCGATACGAGTGCTTAGGATGACACCCACGATACTCCCAGACAGTACCTCGCACTCTATATAATGTCCCCAGTTGTGGGTGATCCTGCCTTTACTCCCAGTCTAGCCGACAGCTCTTTCATGCGCCTGGTGGAATCAAATCGTTTCAGGATTGGACATTTCCAACCCATTGGAGACTTCACCAACCTGGACTCGCTTAGGGGTTTGGTCACTCCCCCACTGCTGCGTAGCTACCTTTTCTAAACTTAGCGCGTCTCCACCTCCACGTACAGTTTTGACACCGTTTGAAGACACTACATTCACTCAAGACCAAAAAGATTACATACTTCACTTTGCTCATAAGGCCTCGATAGCTAGTTCCATACAAGAGACGGGCTACAAAATTCTCACCAGATGGTATTATGTCCCAACCAAGCTTCACAAAATGTTTTCTCAGACCCCTCCAACGTGTTGGAGATGTGGACAGGAGGATGGCTCCATTCTCCACGTGTTCTGGTCCTGTCAATGCCTCGGGGGGGTTCTGGGATGCAGTCCTGCGGATTATCAAACAACTCACAGGAATGTCTCTAGCGGGAGATCCAGCTGCTTTGTTGCTCCATCTGTCTCCACTGTCCAGGGCCCGATACCGCAAATCCTTACTGATACACCTGATCAACGCAGCCAGAGCCTGTGTGCCGCTGTGTTGGAAAAGTGCTAACCCACCCACAGTGAAGATGTGGCTCCGTAAGGTGGATGAGATCCGAGTGATGGAGGAAATGACTGCTTCCCTACATCTCCGAGACAGCGCATTCCGTAAAACTTGGTTTTACTGGCTGGAATACCTTTATTCCCCAGAATATGGTATGCTAATGGTAGAGTGAAGCACCAGGCCACATTCGAGGAACACATCTCATACAAGGCCTTAGAAAAACAGAACCACCCTACTGGTCATCACAGCCGGATACAACATGACCCCAATGCCCTCATGGGACCCAACGGGATTCATGTCTGAGATCACCACATTCATAGCTCTGATCTGTCCTCTGCTACTTCCCCTTCTCTATAACTGTTCTTTCTCTTTCCTATAGCCCACATCTGGGCTAATACACCCATTCTTCTTCTTAGCTCAAAACCCCTCCTTCCCCCCTCCCATATACTCCATCCATGTCACTCCCCTCTATGCCCACTACACACTGTTTTATGAATGACTGTCCGAGTAGCACTGTGAGACCGTATACTACACCTGATCAGTGTGTTCGCAGAATTACTGTCCTGAATACTGGGGCCCTTGGAACCCATGCTAGTACATAGACACCTATTAAACTGACTATTTTCTCACATGTTGCCGAATGATTCAAGGGACCACGATACGCTTATTCAATTTATGTACCGGCTACTGTAGTTAAGTGGAATACGGCATAGACTGTTATACATGTTTTTGTACTTATTGTCTATAGTATCTGAAAATTCAAAATAAAGAATAAAAAAAAAAAAGTAAAAGTAACCAAGCTTATTTTTATGTATGCTTCTTCTATAGGGCCCCAAGCTTCACTCAAAGTACAGACAGAACTGTTTTATGGCTTTTGGAGATTTGCTGGAAACCAAGCTTAACACAGTTTTGTATTACAAAGTGGAAAATGGACTGATTGAACTTTTAGGTTCGAAAAAGTATTTTAATTTCAGCGTGCTGTCACCCTATTGCTACACTCTAGGTAAGTTCTACTGAAAAACAAGTGTTCATAGGTAAAGATTTATGTTTTCGTGGAGTGTTGCAAAGTTGTAGCTTTGCTGTCTAACTGGCGACGTACACTGTACGTCGTCAGTCACGGAGGGGTTAAGCGCACAGCAAACGGAATTTAAAGAAGATCTCTGGGCAAATTTTTTGTTAACCCTTGTAGTGGAGCTATGCCTGCACTGCAATGGTTAAGTGCTTGTTTGTGCCTAGCTGCAAAAATAGTTATACTAATCTGCACCTCGCAGCCGGCTGGCTGCTACAGTGCTGTCTTCAGCCTGTCTCCTCCTCTGCTGCAACAATGGAATGTCCCTCTGCATCCTCACGTCCAGTACACAGTGTAAAGAATGTGATGACTCATGGACCTGCAGCAGAGGGGGAGAGGGGCTCCAGGGACTGGTCTAACAAGCTGGCTCCAAGTATCGGGTGAGTATAATATGTTATGTTTGCACCTAGAAACAAACGAGCACTTATACCTTGCAGAGTGGGGGTAGCCCCACTGCAAGGGTTAATAAAAAGTTTGCCTGCAGTTCTCTTTATTGCCTACTGAGGGACACGGGAATGTAGTAATTCTTGGACATTTAGAATACATGCTGCCACCTACAGGAGGTTTGGACACTGACAAACACAAAAATTGAAGGCCTATCTTCATAAAACCATCTCTAGCAATGATGCCGGTTACTGTTTAAACCAGCGGGCGCTGTATGCAGCTTCTGCGAAGATACGCTATTAGCAGGGGTGGACTGACCCGTCGGGCACTGCCCGAGGGCCCGTAGCCGTCACGGGGCCCATCACCGACCCCCACTAAATGAAGCCCCCGGCCGCAGGTGCAGTGGCTCCCTCCACCGCCTCTCTGCCACCTGCACCACTACAGAAGCGGCTCTCTAATCGGGCGGCCACTTACTCTTCAAGGGGGTCCTCGGGAGGCCCTCTAGTTCCCAGAAATCGGGGATGAATGTAGAGCAGCAACAACTAATCGACTAAGTCGATTATAATCGATGATTGAAAAAGTTGTTCACATTTTCAATCATCGATTAATCGGCTTTCGATTAGTTGGCCCTGTTAATGGCTCCACGCCGCGCTACGCACCTCCTCACGCTCGCCACATCCACGCTCCACACGCCGCACCTCCTCACGCTCACCGCCCGCCCACATCCATATTGGCACAGGGATGCAGGGAGAAGAAGTAAGGAGGAGCAGGCGTGGGGGGATGACAGCCGCAGACAGACAGGCCCAATCTCAGAAGCAAGTTGCTGAAAGAGTGCTCAGGTAAGCCTGCACTTTCCCACACATGGTGCTCTATAATGTATTGCTGGGATAGTGGGATTTGTATTCCTCTATAGCTGATGGTATATTGTGCTGTACTGTATATTATACAGAGCAATGTACCATCCGCTATAGAGGATTACAAATCCCAGCAATACATTATACACTGTATGTATAATGTATTGCTGTGATTTGTTGTATTCCTCTATAGTAGGTGGTATTCTGCATTGCGGAGTGCGATATATTATTGCTGGGATTTGTTGTACTCCTCTACAGCTGGTGGTCTGCATTGCGCTGTATAGAGGACTACAAATCCCAGCAATAATACATTATACAGCACAATGCAGAATTCCACCAGCTATAGAGGAGTACAACAAATCCCATCAATACATTATACAGCGCAATGCAGAATACAGCTAGCTATAGAGGAGTACAACAAATCCCAACAATAATACATTATACAGTGGTGCAATGCAGAATACCACCAGCTATAGAGGACTACAAAACCCAGCAATAGTACATTATACAGCGCAATGCAGAATACCGCCATTGAACCCAAACTGCTAATTTGAATATAGTACAAGGCCTCACTAAGTGAAATCTGTGTGAGCAGAAGGTGGATTGGCATTGCAGGGGCAGGCTGAGCAAAAGCTACGTTGGGACTGAGTTGACTGTGTTTTGAAAAGGAGACAGGCTACCTAGCTGAAGTACTTGAGGTTGTAGAAGGGGGGGAAAAAAAGAAAATACTTTTTTTGTTTATTTTTGTCTGTCTGTAAATCTATTGTCTGCAGTGTGTGCTCTATATGTACTACATATAGAGTATACACTGCAGACAATAGATTTACAATTATCCTCTGCTAATATTAATAGGTTAAATGATCCGTAATACAAGTACATGTTATGTACTATAGATCATTTAACACATTCATGTTAGCCGAGGATAATTGTAAATCTATTGCTGCAGTGTACTCTATATGTAGTAGATAGTACATTACACACGTCCAGTACACTGCAGCAATAGATTTTTCAATTCTCCCCTGCTAATATGAATGGGTTAAACACATGTACTATATACTACATATAGAATGCACTGAACAATAGATTTACAATTATCCTCTGCTAATATGAATGGGTTAAATGATCCGTAGTACATGATATGTAGCCCTGTACCCCCTTTTCCACTTACAGAGCTAGGTTATTGTTTTTCTTTTAAATAAATATTCATGTAATTTTATTGGTATCTATCTTCATTTTGTACATTTACCAGTAGCTGCCTCATTTCCCACCCTCGGCTTATATTCGAGTCAGTACTTTTTCCCAGTTTTTTGTGGTAAAATTAGGTACCTCGGCTTATATTCGGGACGGCTTATACTCGAGTATATACGGTACAAATGTTTTATTCTAAAACAGATTTAAATGAAAGTTCTTCATAATCATAAATAAATTGGCCTAAAATCATTAGTCTGTATTGTTTTTAAAAAAATGTCACCTGTCCCGTTTAAGAAAAAGTATCGGTAATTGGTATCGGCTATATATATATAAAAATTTCACCAGTCAGCATGACTGGACTATATCCTAGCAATTTATGTTAAAATTTTATGGGGAAAGATAGAGCTTTATTTTGAAGGTATATTATCACCACTGGGGGGGAAGGGGGGTGTTTTTTTGTTTTACTATATAATGAAAAAAGTACCATAAATGTAAAAAAAAAACAACAAAGTTTCCCTACGTTATGTTATAAAACATTTTATTCTTACCCATATTTTTAGTAAAACATAAAAGTCGGGTAAATAGACACGAAACATGTCAAGCCTTAAAATTGCATGCACCCGCAAAATCGCAAAAAACGCCTATAGGCGACAATTAAAACGCTTTTACTGCTCATCAATTTAGTGTTATCAGTGATTAATGGCTCTGAAATTATTGCTCTCACTCCGACGTTTGCGGTGATATGTAACATGTGCGGCACAATAGGTGCAATCGTCGTTTTCACGCGTAGGCGCACCCGACGCATATATGCGTGTGTATGTGTTGGGGCGGGGACTTAACATTTTTTTTCTTTTTTTCTTTTTTTATGCTTTTTTTTATGATTCTTTAATTTTTGTATTACTTTTTTTTTTTTTTTTTTACAAACAACTTTATTGCTATTACATGGGGGGCTAAGAAGCCCCCTATGTGATAGCCAATTTACATGACAAGTCCTCTTTATGGAGACATCATAGGGACCCCCTATGATGTCACCTAGGTACCCCCAGAGAAGCTGATGAAGCAGAGATCTGCTTCATCAGCTTCTGTAGCTGGAGAGTGACACTGAATGCAGGAAGTGATGTTATATACATCACTTCCTGCATTCGGGGACTGAGAGGAGATCAAAGGGAGTTCGTATACTGAACTCCCTTTGATCTCCTGTCACAGAGCCGTGCCGGTCCCGGCCGCATTGGGCATAGCGGATCTTGGGACTGGCAATGGCAGTGACAGCTGCTAATGCAAGCCGGGAGTTTTATATTCAAGCTGCTAGTCAGGCACCACTGTCCTCTCGTCGCAGACGAGTGGATTTTTCAAACCCATGCACCCACCTGCTGGACCTGGAAAAGGTGAGCATGTGTGCTGGCATGGAAGGAGCTGCCCATTAATGCGTGTGTGCGGGTAACATCCCACGGGGATCAGACTGTGTGTGATGGCTGATCTTGGAGATGTCGCTGTGTATGTGTCATTCTGACTGCCCAATCTGCCGTACATTGTTTCGGGTCTGAAGCGTGCCGTGTTTCGGGTCTGAGGTCTGCCGTGTATTGGTTCGGGTCTGAAGTGTGGAGCAGTCGGAGCAAATGTCTGGAGCCTTGTGTTTCAGCTGTGATGGCCTCTGAACAAGTATTCATTGGTTGGAACCTTACAGATGTCTAGCACTGGTTATTGTTGGTCACCAACAAGCAAGCTGAAGCACTCTGCTTCCTCAGGGTTAGTGGAGTTTTCTAATGGTTTTGGCATGCCTCCCTCCTCATCATTTAGGCTAGGTTCACACCTGCATCGTGTGTCCCGGGTGTCGTGCGGTCCTGCACAATGCAGGCAGTGATTACCGCGCGGCCCCGGGGCGACATCCGCACGGTAATTGCAGAAAAAAGGTACATGTACCTTTTTTTTGCGATACACGACGTGCAGCTGTTTTAGCTGCGGTTATGTTCGGAAGCACGGGCGGAGTCGCGGCGAAAACTGCGTGATCCACCCGGCACGACTGGGGTGCCATTAGAAAATAATGGCACCCACAGCGTGATCGGTTCACACCTTGGCGACTCCTGACCATGCAGCATCGTGCACGATTGCCCACGGTGAGGTGTCCCCTAGATGTGAACCTAGCCTTTGGGCCATAGGGGTACTGGTGGCTTGCCCTCTTTACATTGCCTTTCCTGCTGTTGTTGATATTTACAGGGTTGTTCACAAAAGGGTGAAGAGTTTGGAGAAGGCATGAGAAGTGAACGATCTAGGCCAAAATAGCTGATTAGGAAAAATTCTCCAATTTGGCTCACTTTCCAGTTCAACTATGTTATCCTAGATCAGCTGTGGCGAATCTATGGCAGGTGGGGCTCTCTGCTGGCACGCAAGCCCAGGTCCGGATTAACATAAGGGCGCCTGGAGCACCCGCTCCAGGCCCGCCCCTGGAAGTAGGCCCCCTCGTCCCAGTGTTCGATTAAAACAGCCAACTCGTCAAGATCTCCAACT